TCTCTTTACATGTAATTTTTTTTCTATATCTACCGATCCAGAAAAATAAAAATTAGGTTTACTTATGCAGAGACAAAATGGTTATTTAAAGCATACAGGAAAAAAAAGAAGTCTGGAGAAATGCTTTGCTTCCTTGGTATTAGTGATATTTTACATATTTTTACCTCAAGTGCAGCAGTCATTCCACTCAAAGAATCAAGCAATGTATGTGATGGTTCAGATTTAGCAGCCACAGATGGCATTCCTTTCATATCTCCAGAAACTCAGAGAGAGAAATATGATTTAGGAGATGCTCACTGCACAACTTGAGGCACTGAAAAATTTAGTGTTAGGGGAAATTTTGTGAAGTCATTTTTGCAATAACCAGGCACAGTGGGTGAACTTACCCTCTCCCTCCTTTACCCCTCACTCCCTTTTCTCCCATTCAACCCATCTGATTAATAGCTAAAAGTTAAACCCATAAAGAAGAACTGTTGAGTTACATTCTTTTTCCTTCTGGCTTTGTTATAGAAAATGTACCAGTCACTCATGATTAAAACTTACAACTTTATTACATAGCATTACATAGGAAATTTACAGTTCAGACTTACTCAATTCCAGCAACTAAAATTTAGAACTATACCTTGAAACAACACCATGCAGAAAATGTTATTCTGTGCTTTTTGGGTCATTCTGTTCAAGCCCACCAATTTAATTTTTTTCATTTGATAACCAGATCCAGAAAATTTGGTTTTGGTCTAGAGGGTCACCTGTTGGAAGCCTTCAAAAGAGCATTCAAGCTCACTCATAGTCCCACATGGATAAACAATTGCCCACTGCCCACTTGCTAATTAAGTATACTGCAATGAAAAATAACCTTCTCCATGTCCAACTGGTCTTTCTGAAGTGCCTGAAATAGCCAACAACAGAACAGACACATTCAGGATGGAAAAGATTTATTAGCCCAAACCTGCCAGTGAATGATTTCCTTTATCATCTGGTTACTGCAATTTTTAAAAAAAAACAACTCCTGAAATGAGGCTTCCATTATTTTCCTGAGGAGCCTTTAGATCATTACAGAACTACAGATAGTTTTTCTGCCATTTATCCTACATTTTGGTATCAATACTCCAGCTAACCAATCTTCAGATAATGAGATCTATTTCTTCTATAGTGTTCAAAATAAAACTGAGTCAAGCTTTTCACTAGGCAGGTGATGTGAATGCTCCTTTTTTTAACTCAATCTCTGGGCTGTTCCAAACTCCAAGCCACTGTCTAATCTCCTCCTGCATTTGAAACTTAAACTAGACTCATTGCCTTTTCCATAAAAATTCACATTGTTTACTTTGAATATGTACAGAGGCAGTCAAAAAGGATGAGGTACAGAGCAATTAGTCTGTCCTCTAAAAAAGAAGGCACTAGTAGAGAGGAAAAGTTCAGAGAAGAGGTATTAGAGATGAGATATTAAATATGAAAGGGATCTCTAAATTTGTTAATATGGAAGCTGAAAAGGGAGCAGTTATTTCCTCACTACCCAGGGACATGGAAAACCTTATGCCAGTGACTCTAAAAGAGAAGGGTTAAACACAGCAAGAAGTGTTTTCCACCCAAGGCAAGATACAGCATTCATTGCCATAAAAAATTGAGACTAAAAATATGAATGAAAACACAGACAAATTAACAAGAGATTGGTCACTGATTCCTATTGCACATAGTCTTTCTTACAAAATGTATCTTAAATAGTCAGCAGTAGATTGGCAGAAGCTTTACCTAGGAAAGCAGCACTTTTATTATACATAATATACATATATTTATTCTTACACTTTCCCTTGGTTTCCTTAGGAAGATGCCATTAGTCATTGTCAGAATATTGAGACAGATCTGACCTGATCTATTCTGCCTATTTTAAGGGGAACAAATTGAAAATATGATATTTTCCTTGTTGACTGAGGAGCAGGATGGAGATCATTAGAAAGCATTAAGCTTAGTGTTTAGTTCCAGCCAGCTGGGGGTTTTTTCCCCTAATTAAAACACACTAATTCTAAGAGCGAAGATGCCATAGAGATGTAGTTTGGTGAGAGTGGCAGGAAAATATAATTGATAAAAGACATTGTGAGGAAGAAGTGCTGTTCAACCATGAAATATTAAAATAAGATTAAATAAGACAGGATTGCTACGATGCTAAAAAAGCTGTAATAACAAACAGCCCACTAAAAAAGCTGTAATAACAAACAGCCTACAGTGTATGACATATACCATTTTAATTAACTAACATATGTATTAATTAAGGGGGAAAACAGCTATAGAAAGAATTTCTCCCCAACACATCTTACATTACTTCAGACAAACCTAATCCCTCCAAAACACTGAGCAGGTGCACAAGCCTTTGCTAGAGGAGGTATTAAACCTTAAGATGTTAACTTAAAGTGTTAACAAATACCAGAATTCCTCAAAGTGAGGTCTAAAACTCACTTTTAAGAAATCATTTCTCCACACACTGCCAATAAAGAGAACAAGGATGGTCACAGTGAAATTCTTTCACTGGCTGACAGGTAGGGATGCTGCTGCTGTAGATATAAAAATCAGTCAACAGGATCCAGAAAAGAACAATATTCCACCCAGCAAGAACCCATCAGCTGAGCTGGCTTTTCACAGCTTACATACAAATATGTTACAAAAACATGCACCAACAACTAAAAATGGTCTGAGTTTATGTAATCTTATCCTGGTTATGCAGAGAAAAGAAAGCTGTCAAGGAGATTGGTGAAATTTGTGTTATTTGGGAGGCCATGACTGTGCCTAGTTTTCCAAGTACAAAGAAGAGCTGTTCTGAATGAAATTTAAATAGGCTGATCTTATAGCATTAAGGTCCTTCATTTTAATCCTCAGTGATAATCTCCTGTTAATGCAAAATGACATTGTTTATGAAAACAGCATTATGGAAACAAACAAAATCAGAAAGTCTGAACACAGGATCAAGTAGCAATGGACACTAAGCTCTTAAATGTTTTCAACTCCTGGGAAGAGGATAACCTCTGCTACTAATTACTCCTTCAGACCTCAACTGAAACTTATTTTTCCTAAATCATGCCTTTATTCCAGCCCATGCCTGTAACACCATTTTGGTTACATTGCCACAGTCCTGATTTTACAGCCCTGAGGAGGAGAGAAGAAAAAGAAAAGGAAAGATGCAGGAGCAGCCTTGTTCCCGAGGTCAAAGCTGAACTGGTTCTCTGAGTTTTCCAACTCTTTCTGTGCCACTGATGCTGAAAATGTGAGGTTTTCAGTTCCTGCTTTTAAAGAGCCACTTCAATCACAGCACACTGAAAAAATCTGATCAATATGACTTCAAATAAAAGCTAGCAGAACCTTCTAGGTAAAATGAGAATAAAGCAGAAGGACCTGCTGCTATTGTTAACGGCTTCATCACATATAACCCCCTTGATCAAGAGTGAGTGAGGGAGAAAAAAAAACAAACCAGAAAAATATATTCATTCTATGGACTGATTTTCTATGCAGAACTCAGTAGGAGCTGCCTTGCCTGCCCCAAGCATTTGAGGACTTGTTTTTAATAGAAGTTTAGTGTAATTGATTTAGCTTTACTTTTGCTCAGCTGTACTTCTGTTGCTTTCTGGAGTGCCTGTCTCTCTGTGCTCACGTGTAAGTGAAACTCTAAACCAACAGCTTTCAGCCATTTACAGCAACACAGGCTCTGCAGCAAGCAGGAATATACACAGTGGATAAAAGATTCACTCGTGTTTTAGCATTTCTAAGTGCAGCTGTAGGAGATTCTGGATAAAGCATTTCTGAACAATAAAAAAATCCTCCCCTGAATTCAGCTCTTAACAGAAGAGTTTACTTGGGTTTTTTTTTATAAACAACAGTATCTAACCCCAGAAAAGCATCCTCAGACCTGGCTACTCAATTTATTCAAGGGTAAAAAATTATTTTAAATCTACTTAAAAATCAAAGCAGGAACACTCTTACCCCTTCCCCCAGACATTTCCCTGTCATTTTCACAGAAAAAGTCATGGCTATGGTTTGTTGGGCTCTCAGTAACTCCCCAGGACTTGTTTGAGTATTGCTGTAGGACTGATTAAAAATGAGTAAGCACTGTCCCAAACAGGTTCAGAATACTTTAAATTTCTGTTCTTCACATACATACCCCTGACAGAAAACCTCTCAGCTATTCTGCTTCCAACCATGGGATTTCCAGACATTACTGGTTAATTTTTACTCATATATTTAGTGGAAGACCCTTTGCAACAGCCAGCACCCTTCAAGGCATTCTGTTAAAAATACTGAATCAGCACAAAACTTCAAAATGTAATTTTATAAAAAGCATTAAAATGTTAGCTGCTATCATCTTGGTTGATATTAAAATTAGTAAATACAACATGCATTTCTCTAAGGTTTAAAAGACCATTTCTGTAAAAAAATCCAAATCCCCAGTGTACTCTTGTTCTTGGGAGCATTCACATAACCACCCTTTGCAGAAATCAACAGTTTGGAGAAAATTGAGTTAAAATACATGAGTATTCACGAATAAACTTCAACTATTAATCTTCCAAATGTATCTGCATTTAGTAATTATGCTACAGGAGCAATGCTACATGTTTTTTACCAACCAGTCCCAAGTAATCAACACGTCTAAGTGGCAAAAGTCATATATCGAGACACAAAGTTTCAAAGACAAAAAGACACCAAAAAAAAATCACTTTTCTGACACAGACATTGTAAACTGGAAGAAGGTCCAAGAGCGGTAAGAGAGGCTAGATTTGCTACACGACAACTAAAAAAAATTAGTGTTTAAAAATCAGTTGTTGACCGTCAAGCAAATATTTTTAGCGAACGACGCTATTCACACAGCTTAAGCAAACCCCATTTCCAGGGCAGTTTCACCGCCTGGCTGATTTCTCTCCAGGAGCTGGAGAAAAGGAGCAGGACCCAGGAGAGGGAGCAGGGACAGGGGGGGAAGCCCCCGCGGGGAGCAGAGCTCCGGGCGCGCGGGGCATCGTTACCTTGGCAAGCAAAGCCTCTCTCTTCGTAGCCAGCGTTGCACAAGCACTTCCCGATGGGCACCAGCCACTCCCCCTCCGTGCTGCAGTACATCTTGGGGGGCTCCTCCTCCTTGGAGTGGTTGACACAGGAGCCCCGCACCTCCACCAGCGACTGGGAGTCCATGGGCACCGTGTCGGGGAACATGGCCAGGTTCTTGACGGTGAAAGGGCACTTCTTGAAGTACACCCGCACCGACACCAAGGCGACGCAGGCGCCCACGTCCTGGAAGGCCAGGTAGAAGCCTTTCCTGCTGATGGGCCCCACCTCACGGATCTCCGTGTTCAGCTTCAGGATGCGGTCGCCCAGGTCCATCTGCGTGAAGCTCTCGTCGGCCGCGATGGTGTCGATCTTCACGAACTGGCTCTCCTTGAACTTGACCGAGTGGTCGTCGTCAGACTCCATGTAATAGAGGTTGAAGGTCTCCTTGCAGGTGCCCAGCACCAGGGGGATGCTGTTGCAGTCCCTCAGGGTGAACTTGAGCTCCACGTAGATCTTCTGAGCCGAGTTGCGCGGGATCCAGTTTGTCCGCAGCCAGTTGTTCTGGCTGTGGTCCATGACATTGCACACTTGGTAAGTTCTGATTGGGGTGTAGTGCTCGTCAACACCACTAATCTCTTCCCACTGCATTCAAAAGTAAAAAAAGAAGAAAGGGAAACGTTTTTAGATTAATTATTGTATCAACAAAAATAACGTTTAGACCAAAAGCTGTGAAAAAGCGAAAATAACTTTGCTTGGACATCACTATAAAATAAGCAATAAGGTCTGGTTGAACCTCCTCTTACCTTTTTCGTATTAAAAAACAGAAACATCTTAAATGAACATAGAATTCACCATTAAAAAGTCAGTTTTTACCAAGTTACTTCAAGGTGGACAAAAATTCTACAGCTGTTTTACACTACTAAAAACCTGTGATTTCCTAAACAATAAGCAGTTCCACAATTCCATGTCTTTAAACAACTACACTCACCTCATATAGAAGAGACCCTCAAGGACAACACACATTTGCACTGTTAGAAACAGTTTTATTTCTAAGATTAAAAAAAAGCCAACAGCTCCAACTGAAATTCCATACAGACACAGTAAAATGTTACAGTTTTACATTTATTCAAAGCATGACAATTGATTTTCCTTGGGATATATGTATCTGACAAACAATAACTCCGGAAACTGGGTCGAGCTGGACTAAGAATTACTACCAATTTACCATATTCTGATTTAGTTGTTTCTTCTGTGGACTACATAGGCTGTGATATTTGAATGGTTTTGAAGAACACAGGGTCATGATTTGCTTTTACAGCAGCCATCAGCTGACAAACTCTCTTGACCCAAAATATGAAGGAAGGGGCTTCCTACTTGTGAATTATTCACATAACAGTCCTACCTGGTTTCCAAAGTCACACTTAAGAGGAATATTTACCAACCAGAGGAAAAAAAAAAAAGAAAAAAAACCCTACAACAAAAACTGGAGAATCAAGTATATTGCCAGAAGTCACTGTCACTTCCTGAGGAAGGGAGACAAAGAAATATTTCTACCAGAAAAACATCTTCCCTCAAAAATCAAGTCATATGAGTTTCCTATTTAAGTTCTCAGCCTAATAATTACTTGTTCTGCATAAGCACCTTTTTGTTACAGGACTTTAGTAGAGTGCAGACAGTAGGAGAGGAAAGAACTATTCCCACTATAAAGACAAAAATCGTGGTGCAGAAGGGCTTAGAGTTTCTTGGGTTTACAATGCATGTATATCACACACATATACAAAGAAAGGAAAAAAACATGGACATATCAGAGCAGCATCTGAGAGTTCTCAGTCCCAACCCACTAATTTAAGGAAGTTTTGATCAAAGAGCTGGTCTGCACATTGAAATTGTCCACACACCACTGAAGATGTGATTTTAAACCGTGCTATTAAACCAGCAGATAAAAGCAGTGTAAATACTCTTCGCTTTAATTGAAACCAAGTTTACCGCAGTTCACTTTACAGACCTGACTATACACAAGTTTTATCTCTTCCTGACTCGTTCAGCAGAGTTTAAAACACAATCTTGGATGCGTCTACAGCAGCTGATAAGCTGCAGCATGCCACACCAGAACCTATTTCCAAAAAGAGCCAGCAGTGCAGGGACTTTTTTTGAGTCAAAATTGCCACGCTGGAGCTCATGGCCACTTGAGAGCTTGGCACCAGCCACACAAGGATGAGCTGCTGCCTGCAGAAAGAGGCAGCTGGACCCTGGCTCCCAGCCCCTGCCAGCTTCCCAAAACTGAGGGAAGGACTCTGACAGATGTCCTTGCACAAGCACAGGCCCTGAGCCAATGATCTAACCCTGCCTCAAAGAGCCATAATTGCCTCCAGTGAAGCTGCATGAGTTATCTGCAGCTCTTACCTGGACAAATAAATACTGAGTAACAACACCTGGATGAAACTAGACAGGATTATATAATGCAACCACATTTTATGGACATTTTAAGCAGCTCACACTGATTCAGAAGTCATCTAGTGATTACAATTTCCATATAATTTCTAATCAGTTCTATTTTAAATGTCCAGTGGGAGACAGAGACAAAGCCAGGAAGTGGCAGAGTTTAAAACATCTCCACAGCAAGATGTTAGCTTTCTGTACAAGTCTCATGGCAATTTTTTTTTTGCCATAAGTTTTTTATCCAACATTCTTACACAGACTTTTGAATGTACATACAAGGCTTGTATAACAAAGGCAGCATCGCTTATATGTTCTTCTTCCAGAAGATAATAATATTCAATTAATAACTTCATGCAATTAAAATTTCAGTAATTTGCAATGAAGATCAAGTTGTCTGGAAGTCCGTGTTAGACCACTTACATGAACAACAAAATTTCAAATCTATCGTTTCATGCTGAAGCATTGCTGAAGGGAAATGCCACTCTCACACTTGGTGCTAATTTAACTAAATTCCTTTAACAGTTATAAAACTGTGGAGACTGCAGCTATTTCATTAGAAAAAGATGAAATAAGTCACCAAAACTACAGGAAGAGCATTCAAATCACAACATGTACCAGGTTCAAGTACAATTGGGAATTCAATAATTATTATGATCAAAGGAAAAAGCAAGCAGTACATTTGCATTGCTCATACATTGCAACTCTTCCCAGTAAGCCTTTGTATTGCTATTTCATAGGGATCTTAATGGCAAACAGAAAATCAAGAACACTGAGCTTTTTCTATTAAATAAGGTTTCTCAAAACCCTGTATTTGCACTAGTTTAATTTTTATTTTGGCACTTGCAATTCACATGTTCGACTTGCTCCGTAAAGTTACAATTGTTACAAAAATTCTTTTTAAAAAAATTTAAAATAATAAATAAATTCTTATTCCAGGGATGTAATTAAACGGGGAAAATAATAAAAGAGATGGACAGGGGAGAGAAAATACAACAAAAGACTTGGGTTGAGACAAGGAGAGGCAAAGATCACTCACCTGTTACTGCCATGGACAAAATAGGGGACATTGGCCTAATTTATTATCAGTCAAATGAGATCAAGGTAGTGACAAACAAAACTAAATCTTGAGTAGCTCTGGTCCATGCAGCATTACACTGCAGAGGTGTCCCAGATGGAATTTCTTTCTTCCAATACTGTACAAAACTAATGGATATTTATCAGTCTTGGCTACTGTTAGAGAGGAAATTAATAGGCAAGCCCTAAATTCTGCAATGATGGAATGACAGGACTATCCTCCAAGTCCAATAGGAATGATAAAGTCAGAATTTTTCAGGAAGATGTTTATAAAACAGTATTTCTGTCCTATTCCCCTGGCTCCTTCAGGCACTTTCAATACTTTTGAAGCATGTCCAGAAGTGCCACAGCACCACTCCCTTCCCAGCGTGTAATTTGGCTTTTGGAAAATGTTCTTTTGTTTGCTTTTCACTTTTTAAAATCGTCTTTGGATGCTGGTAATGACAGGAAACAAGAGATTGCTTTCAGTGGTGTAGAAAAATCTCCAGACCCCCAGTGAGAGGGTCTAACTCATGCCTCTGACTGACAAAGTTGGGCCAAAAAGGATTTTCTTCCCCAAGATCTGGCACTGCATGGCTTTGGTTTATTTCTTGCAATTTCTGTACAAAAGGAAATGTACAGAAGTGAATGTAGGACGTTTCTAGGATGTCATGAGCAGTCTCAATGAAAAGCTTCCTCTCAATGTGGGAATCTAGGACATGAGTGATCTCAATTCTTTCATCCTGCCTCTGACATCACTTTTTGTGTCTTTTTATCCATCATAATAAAAAAAAAAAATCTGAATTACAATAAGAAACAGAGGGATATTTTGTGATTTACAATACAACATATATGCAAAAAAAGCCCCATTTCTTCTGTCACCATCACATTGCTATAAAACTCTTAAACTACAACGTATAGAACTCCAACTTATGTGAGCATTAAAATAATTCAAGTCTAAATAAAAAAAAAAAAGAATCTCCCCACATACTGTTTAAAAGCTTAACAAAATATAGTAGCAGGATGCAAGAGCTCTGAAAGGTGGCTATTAACAAAATCCCTGTAATGACCACATTATAGGAGAAAGCATTCCAGGGAAGCTCATCAGCATGAAAACTTTCCTTGTAACATCACCAAAGATGCTGATTCAAGGCCCATTAATACCAACCAGCTGAGATCAGAGGACAGAAAATGAGCTGATTTGGGATTTTAAGAAACTTTAAAAGTACCACGGAATTTTTTTTTTTCTACATTGGACATTCAAAAAATCAATGAAATTACCTCATGCCACTAGCTCTAGCCAGTTTTTTAGTTTTCTTCTAAGTTGTAAATGAAAGGATAACTCACATTGCAAGAGTTTTCTGATTAAGTTATACATACAATGAAATTATCATTTCCATCACATAAACCTTCATAAGACACAGACTTTGGTACACTCACAGCTTCAGCCTAAAACCTGGGCCTCTTCACAGCAGAGCAAAACAGTTTCAGAATTAAAACCAAGGAAATATTAACATCTTGTCTGTTGAGTGCTCAGGTGAGATGAGAAACTCATCAAGAGTATCCAGATACAAAACTTCCCCAAGAAAACCTGAGGTCTAGCATTTTACCATACAACTAGCCCCAAATTTATCCCAAATTATCCAAACCAGTCAGATCTGTGTTCCATGCAGTCATGCTATTGAGTTTTTAAGAACTATGACATAAAATAATATAATAACTGTCTTAGAGAAGCTAAGCACACATAAACAATATTGAGAAAGCAAGAGTGCATACCTTATCATGGGAATACTAAACTAATAATTAAACCAAACTGCAGAAAGACAAGGAAAGCCATATTTTTTTCCCCCCATCTCTAATTGGCAGACAGATGAGCACTTCATCATCAAATTTGTAAGGACAGCTGATTCTCACCCTTCAGCAAGCAAAAGCCTCTTAATCACAGTGAGGTAAAAAGGTCAAGACAAGGAGGAAAACATCTGAGTTCCTAAAAGACATCTGAATCCAGCATTCAAACACCCCTTCATAGTTTGGACAAGAAAAGCATTTACAGCTTCAATATATTTTTTTTCCCTAGGCTATGTATCTCCTGGAGAAGCAGGTTTCAATCTTATTTATCTCAGAGGTTAAGTAGATTTTCTGGGAAGTTC